AATCAATAAATCTTTGAAAACTGTTGTGTTAAAAATCTATAACAGCTAATCTGCATTTCATAGTATTTTGGATTTTAGATATGTATTTACAAAATAAGAATTACACAACAAGTTAGTGTGGAAATCATAAACTCGGGAACTTAAGAAAAGATGTGAAAGAAATTTATCTTAAGCAGAAAAGAGTTAAGAAATTTGACATAGGATGCATATCAAAGGTAAAGTAAAATGTTAATGGCAGGTCAAACGGTATCTTGAAACGATACTATAAAATTACACATAATGACAGCTTACTGTGCCCAATAGCCAAAATGGGGTCACTGACCAAAGCTGAGGGGGTGGGGCTGCCCTGCCCAAGAAGCAGGAGAAAGGAACCTGCCAAGACCATAGGGGTGTGGTCCCCACTCATGAAATAGGAGAATGGAGCTACACAAAGCCTCGGGAAGTGATGCCAAGAGGTCTACACCCAGAATCCTGAAAGCATGGCCAACACACAGAATCTGGAGGGTGAGGGCTTGGTCTCAGAGAACAGGGGATTTTTTTTCAAAACTTGAAAGCTAATATAATTTGTTCTGCTGAGTTTTGGACTTGCTTGGTGTCTATTATCCCTTCTTTCTCTCCAATTTCTCCCATTTGTAATGGAAATGTCTACCTGGTACTGGCTCTACCACTGCACTTTGGAAGCAGGTAACTTATATTCCAGATTTCACACATTGACAGATAAAGACGAATTTAGCCCCAAAGTGGAATGTACCTAAAATCTCACGTATATTTGGTGCTTAAAGTATTTGACTGCTAACCAGAAGGCTGGCGGTTCAAATCCACCAGCCACTCCTTGGAAGGAAGATTGGGCAATCTACTTCTGTAGTAACACTGCCTTGGAAACCCAAGGAGGGGTTGCTATCAGTTGGATCCAACTGACAGCACTGAGTTTGGGTTTTTTTGGTTATATTTGATTTATACAATACAGAAGATTGGATTTTGGACTTGGAGTTCATTTGAGTTTTAACAAACCAAAACCAAACTCACTGCCACTGAGTCAGTTCTGACTCAGCGACCCCCTTTGGGTTTCTGAGGCAGTAAATCTTTATGGAAGTAGATTGCCCAGTCTTCCTTCCACGGAGTGGCTGGAAGGTTTGAAATTCCAACCTTCTGGTTAGCAGTCAAATGTCTTAGGCACTACACCACCAGAGCTCCTAATCCAATACATAGTCACTAGAAAGAAAAACATACCCAGTTAAATGTTTAATAAATTACTTGGGAAAATATCTCACTAAGCATGTATCTTCCCTTCTCACTGCCATCAAGTCAATTCTGACGTGGCAACCCACTTTGGGTTTCCAAGGCAGTAAATCTTTACGAAAGTAAATTGTCCAGTCTTCCTTCCATGGAGTGGTTGATGGGTTTGAACTGCCAACCTTCTAGTTAGTAGTCAGATGCCTTAAGCACTATGACAACTTTAGGAGTATGTATTTTCCTAGAAATTTGTGAAGCTGAATAAAATGAGTTTTGGAGGTTCATGAAGAGGTTACAGCAGCACTAGGCTCCAAATTCAAACTTTTGTAAAGACCAACCTCATCAGCTGCCCCACAGCACAATTCCAAAGGATATGAAGGCTGACAGCCTAGGTCTTCAGCTATCAGATGAATGAATATAAATGTGATATGCACAGCAGAATTCTATGGGCCTTCATAAAAGCCCAAAAGACACTACTTGTGAAACTATAAAAACAAACAAACAAAAATGCCATGGCAGCAATTAGTACTATTGATATGTGCATATATCAACATCTACGTATTTATATAGGAGCCCTAGTGGCCCAATGGTTAAACACTTGGCCACTAACCAAAAAGTTAGCACTTTGTACCCACCAGTCACTCTTCAGGAGAAAAGATGAGGCAATCTGTTCCCATAAAGATAACTACTTAGGAAACCCTATGGGACTGTTCTACTTTGTCACATGGGGTAGCTTTGTTACAATCACCTCAATGACATTCAGCAAAGTGAATACATACATATACATATGTATACATGTATTAACATATATATGTATACATAGCTTAATCACTATGAAGAAGTGCATTGACCTCAATAACAAATATAAGTACCTTTTCCTTGCAGAAACTGAGTAACCTCACCTTCCTCTACTTGGACCACAATGCCCTGGAATCTGTGCCACTTAATTTACCAGAAAGTCTACGTGTAATTCATCTTCAGGTATGATCACTTTTTTCACAAGAGGGGTCAATTAGGAAAACTGTTCATTCATGTGTAAATTTTGGTTAGATTTCTGGGATACTGTGACAGTTGTTAACTGCAAAGTAGCTTGACTCATGGCAACCCCATACACAATAGGACTGGAGGACCACTGGGGTCCATAGCATTTGGCTGCTAAGCAAAAAAGGCAGCCATTCAAACCCACCAGCTGCTCTGCAGAAGAAAGATTAGGCAGTCTGCTTCCATAAAGATTCACAGGCTTGGAAATGCTATGGGGAAGTTGTGCTCTGTCCTACAGGGTCAGTAAGTCGGAATCATCTTGATGGCAGTGTGTTTTATTAGTTGAGATCCATAGAGTTTTTATAGCCTGATTTTGGAAGACCACCAAGCCTTTTTTCCTACTCTGTCTTAGTCTGGAAGCTTTTTTTTTTCTTTCTTTCTTTCTTTTTATTGTGATTTGGGTGAAGATTTACAGAGCAAATTCACTTACTATACAGCAGTTCACATATACTTTGTCTCATGTCATTGACCACAGTTTACCACAATGCAACAGCTCCCCTCCCACTTCCTCCCCATAGTTACCTCTTCCCAGTGTCCATCCCTCCATACACTCCTGCCCCCTGAGCTGTCTCCCTGTGCATAAGCAGCCCTTCTTTCTCCCATGGTTGTTCTCTCCAAAGAGTGTATCTGCTTGAGGTAAATGTTCAACTCATATGCCTCTCTTTTGTTTGGCTGGAAACCACAGGTGTGGGTTCAGTTCCAGACCTGAAGGGCAGCTAGAGGCCATAGGCTCAGTGGTTCCACCAGGATCTATAAAACCAGCAAACCTGGTCCCCACCTTTTTTTTTTTCTCCAAATGATTTTGAGTTTTGTTCCACATTGTTCTCCCTCTGTATCAAGGATCTCCTACATAGATCCCCTTCCAAGTGGATGACAGTGATAGCCGGGCACCATCTAATTCTTCTGGTCTCATAGTTGTATAGGCTGCAGAACGGATGGTATACCATTCGCTAGGACTAATTGTTTCCATGAATTTTGGTTTTCTTCATTTTTCTTTGCTCTGGATGAGGACAGACCCACCATTATATCTAGATGGCAGCTTGCTAGCTTTTAAGATCCCAGTCGCTACTTGCCAAAGTAGGAGGGAGAAAAATGTTTTGTATAGTATATTATGCCAATTGAGCTTGATGTCCCCTGCGTTAGTCTGGAAGCTTTGTTGAAACACAAAACACACAACCTCCACAGATAGGCAGTGGTTGAGCATGAGATACATTGTCCATGAATAAGATCTTGTTCTTCTACACGGAAGGCAAGAATTCTACTCTGAACCACTTGCCCTCTGTGATAGTATGACAGCCAAATAAATATGAAAAGTATTAATATTCAGCCAAATGTAATCTCCTGTCCAAAAGTCCAGTTCTGTCCAGAGCATCACAAATGACCAACAAGATTCTAGTGGGAGGTCTCTGCTCCTTAGGGTGAATTCCTCTCTAGGTATGTTGTTGCTGTTGTTAAGTGCTGTCCAGTCAGACCCGACTCATAGTGACCCCTTCTTGGATTTCTGAGGCAGTATCACTACAGAAGTACATTTCCCAACCTTCCTTCCAAGGAGTGGCTGGTGGGTTTGAACCGCCAGCGTTCAGGTTAGCAGTCAAGTACATTGGGCACTATGCTACCAGAGCTCCCTCTCTAGGTATGCACTTAGCATTTCCTACTTATTCTGATGCAGGAATTTGAAGTCAAGGTATTAAGACCTCTGATGTGTGTTTCTCTCTCCAACAGCAGTAAACATTTGCTTTTGGAGACCTTTCAACTGACTTTTTAACACCGATTTAAGATAACATGAAAGTGAAGAGGTAATGAAAATAAAATAGGTTATCAGCATCACAAGACCTCCCATTTGTTCTTTATACTTTTTTAAAAATATGTGTAAAGACATGGTACCCATTTTACATTGACACTTGAGAATAGCACACTTTCTCTAACTACTATAATATTATTTATATTTATACTGTAAAAGAAGAAGAAGCACAAATTGCACAGGAGGTTTGATTGTCATGAGAACACATAAACTCCAAAACCAAACTCACTGCCATGGAGTCGGATCCGACTTATGGCAACCCCTCCTTGGGTTTCTGAGGTGGTATCACTACGGAAGTAGATTGCCCAACCCTCCTTCTGAGGAGTGACTGATGGGTTTGAACCACCAGCTTCCTGGTTAACAGTCAAATGCCTTAGGCACTATGCCACCAGAGCTCCAATGAGAAGACATAGCATGTACAAAATTTAAAAATCATTTTTTAGATAAAATATTCATAGCATCCCATGACACAGCTTAGAAGAAGTTGAATTCAGACCTTTGAATGCTCTTTTTTTCCCTTTTATTTTCCAGTTTAACAACATAACTTCAATTACAGATGATACATTCTGCAAGGCTAATGACACACGTTATATTCGGGACCACATTGAGGAGATTCGTCTGGAGGGCAATCCCATCATCTTGGGAAAGTATCCAAACAGTTTTATCTGTTTAAAGAGATTACCTATAGGATCATACTTTTAACTATTATCAATGTAGGATAAAGCCAAAGTACACATATTCTTACAAATATATCAACAATGTTTAAAGGAATATAGATATTCATTTAATACTGACTTATAACCCACTATGAAGCAATTTTATGATTTAGGTAACACATTAAAATAAAACAACATAGAACAAGTGAAAAAAAGATTGAAACAGTAATCTCAAAAAATATGAAAATATTTAAACAGCCTCACAAAATCCTTGCAGTTTATGTGTTTGCCATTCAAAAGGTATGATCTTACCTTAATACCCAAATTTGAGAGGACTTATTTCTATTATTAATGACATGAGAAGAGAAGAGGAATCCAAAAAACTTTCCATTGTCTTTCTTTCCTGACCTTTAATATATCCATACAGCACTTAAGGCAGACATTCCAAAAACTTTGAAAATGACCTCACCCTTTTTTTTATATATAATTCATATATCATTATGAAGTAGAAACATTGCTTTCTTGCTATCATATTATTATAAATAGAATATAGTCTCATACATAAGCAAAACTTTCCAAACATAATATTATATTATTCTGATAAAGACCTAATATAATAATTCTATATATTCTATGTAGTTATTGAACTTTCAGTCATAGAGTCAAAGATTATACTAAAATAGTATAAAAATATTTTATCTAAATATTAACATTCTATGATACTCACAAAACATCTTAAGAAGACAACCAAACCAAAACCAGTAATTTTATAAGAAAAACTGGTAATTCCATTTCTCAGAGAATAGCTATACGGTTCTACATTGTAAATGTTTTCAAATATTTTATATATATATAGGAGCTCTGGTAGCGTAAAGCCTAAGGCACATGACTGCTAACCAGAAGACTGGTGGTTCAAACCCACCAGCCACTCCTCAGAAGGAAGGTTGGGGAATCTACTTCTGTAATGATACCACCTCAGAAACACAAGGAGGGGTCGTTACGAGTAGGGGCCAACCCGATGGCACATAACAACAACTATATATACACACACACACACACACACACACATTACAAAATATTTCTTACACTATAAAAATGAGAAAGTCATCAATAAACTATCCAAACTTAAGAAACAAAATCAAAATGTATTCTGTGGTATTACTGGATACCACCCTCCAAATCCACATACACATCAATATTCATACAAACTATATAATAAATTCTGACCAACATTATCTAAATTTCCATGAACAAATAGGTTTAAAGTTGACAATTCATCTTTAATCTAATAATAGTGATTAATGATGAAACAATTAAAGCCGCCAAACTAAAGTTTCTAAAATAACATTCCTCTTACCCTTTACACACTGAAAAGTCTTAGTTTTCAAATTATTTTGAAGTTAAACACAAAATTCTCAGTGCTTTAGAAACATTAATCTGAACTTGGTTCATAAAAAATTACCTGCATTATTTCCAGTATAAATTATAAACTAGAATCAACTTGGTTTGTGTATACTATGCCAAGAACACATACTTATTTCTATTTTTGAGCATTTGTTTTAGGTTTTTCCAAACCTACAATGACCTCCCTATCCATTTTTCAATTTCGAGGTCAACGTCAAGAAGAATTACTTTCATTAATCTCGTAAGGTCACAATAATTACCTCAGTAACACTTATTAATATGTTCTCTTATTTTACTTTGGCAACTGATAATCCTGTTTCACAGTTTTCTCATTTTGTGTACATGTTTATTTTTCTGTGTCTGAAAGCTTATTGAGAACAAGGAACATGTCTAATACTTATTTGTACTGAAAAGTACCTAGCATGATAGAGACCACATATAAATTGAATATGTAATAAATATTGCAAAATAAAATACATCTGTGTTAGACTGGGTTTTCTAGAGAAACAAAACCAGTAAAGCTTAGAGAGAAAGAGAGAGAGAGAGATTATCTTAGGAAAATAAATTAAGTGTCTTAACTTATTTTGTAGTTAAGTGTCTTCGTTCAATTAGGGCAGCTCGCACTGTCAAATCAAGTTTACATAAAACAGCAATCACAGCAGTCTTCAAGGATGGTGGAGCTCCCTTCACAAATTTATTCCTCCTGGTACTGGTGAAAGGCGTGTCTTCTGGACTCTCCATTTCTGGCTCTAGGGGTCTAATCTGATAAATCCATTCTCACAGGCTAATCCCATCAAAGTGAAGTAGAGGGGATAATAGCTTTACAGTAATCCCTTCATATAGAAGGGATTCAACAGAATTTACAGACTCCATATTCTGATCTTCGTGGCTGTCTTTCTTTTTTTTTTTTTTTTTTTAATTTTATTTTGATTTGGGTGAAGATTTACAGAG